TTAGAATTTTTTCTTAATTAAATTTTAATTTTGGTAAATTAATTAACTAAACACTTTAACTTTTTTTTTTAAAATTAAAATTAATAGAACTTAGGTTTAATTTCATTTTAATTCATTTTTCTTTTCGTAACAAAAATACCAAAAAAACATAGAATTAATTTCTTTTATTTAAATTTCATGTTTCTTTAATAATTATCTTTTTTTAATATAGATCTAGATCAATTTTTTTTTAACTTAAACCATTTTTATAAATTAAAACAAAAAAAAACAACAAAAAGATTTTTTTTTATCTTAGGATTTTTAGACGTCTTTTCAAATTTGCACGTTATTATTCTTTCGCACTTCATTTTATTATTGTAACTGTATATTGAAATGTAATAGATGATTAGTAGGACCTTTACCGCTTTTATTTATTTTTTCCCCCAGTTTTAGATATGTACATAATCCCCCTCCCCGAAGCCTTGTAATAGCTAGGTTTTATATTTCTGCACTTTTAAATTATTGCAATTATTAACTGCTAGATGTATGACTAATAGGATTGTATGGCAAGAATAATCAAACATTAGCAAACTTAACACAAGACTAAAATAACTGAACATAACACACCTTGCACATATGCACTCTTAGGGTATGCCTCACTTGGTTGCCTCGGAAAGCAATGGTCATGTCTCTCGAACATAGGGATACCCTTAGTAAAGACCCTCGATTAAAATCATCATAAAGATCATGGTCCCTCGATGTCCCTCGAAGTTGCCTACGGTATATGATCTTGTCCCTCGATGTTGCCTACGAATATATGATGACAGTCCCTTCGAAATGCTAAAGTATCCTTACACGTTGCCTTCAATGACCATTACATTCCTTTCGATAGTCCCTCAAGCTCCAACGACGGTGCTACCTACTCCTTAATAGTAGGATAGTGTTGTCTAAAGGAAACGAGAATAGAAACAATCCTTTTTCGAGTAGGTAGATGCTAGTAGGTACTTGCTCAAAATCAAACTTTCACACTTACACTTTTTTTTTCAAATAAAGTTTTCAAAAATACTTCGTAACACTCTTGAAGACAGAAGCAAGGGTTAAAACGAAGTAAAACAAAACTTTTCAAAACAAACACACACAAGCAATTTTTAAAAGATGAGCAAGTACCTAAGAGCCTATGGAAAACTACGGATAGAAAGGATGCTAATACCTTCCCTTTCTATAATCTACCCCCCGTACTCAAAATCTCGAAAAAGGAATTTTTTGGTGCTTTTGTCCTTTCCAGTTGGTAAAATAAAAGTCAGTGGCGACTCTTGCTTACCGCGACATTTTGCAAACACAAACGCAAAACGCAAACCAACATTTTCCTAAAACAGTCTGGTTCTGCTACCGTATCACACCAGTCCATCGAAGTCTTTCTCAAAGTCGTAGGGAACAACCAGCATTTAATCGGTCCCTTGACGTTATGATAGTGCAACATTACCTCGAACCCGTCGATATGGTCGACTGGATCGGCAATGCCGTCGTACTCCTTCAACTGGGGAGGTTTCTCCAAACCCGGGGAATGGGTGCCTCCATAATAGCCTGGGACATGGGACCGCAGGGGTCATCTTTATCGCTTCTGTGTGGAGATCGAGACAGCGACTTGTAGTAATGGCGGTCATGATGGCAACCCTGGTCGCGGGGAGGATCCCTCGGTCGGGGTCGTTGTTCTTCATTTCCCCTATTTCTGTTTCCAAGGAGTCTTTGCTCTTGGCGCGGGGGGACGTGATCACGTCTCCCGTATCAACGAGTTGATTCCTCTCCAACACGGGGCGTCATCTGGTTCGTCAAAGAGAGGGGCTTCGAGAGGCATTCCGTCCACATCTCTGCGGGGGAGATTGGGGACGGTCCTCTATCTGATGGACAGGAGGAGAATCAGGCCTCCTGTGTCTTATGGGGGCTCTTCGAGAATCTTCGAGCACCCTTAATCTCTCACCTTGTGAAAAGATCAAGTAGTTTGTTTGATTTATAGTCGCGAACAATGCCCTGGTCATGGCATCAGCGCCCGCAGGAACGGGGACCTCCTGGAATGTGTTCGACTGATAGTTCTGGAGAGGAAGACGATCGTCTTCGATTCGTCGGGACAATGATGACGATGAGGCAGTTGATCCGTCTCTATATTCTGAGGGGTCAGACATGTCAACAACGTGGCCGATGTTATTGTTGCCGGTGTTGTTATTGTTACCGGCAATGTGGCCAGTGGGACTAACATTGTTGGTGTCGGCGTTGTTGTCGGTGATGTTGTTGTTAACGTCAGCGGGATATACATTCAGGGTGTTTTCTGCCGTGAGGTCAGCCATGACAGTTAAAAAGGAGTTGGATTAGCTTTTGTCTTATGCAAGTGAAAGACGGGGAAGCTTGTTTCTCACAGACGGTGCCACTGATTGTATCTGACCAGAATGAACCGTCACAGCTTACGTCAAGCAGAACTTGAGAGTGAGGTGGGAGATACCTATAAGACACTCTGATGCCAAAATGAGATACAAAATGGTACAACCAAGTAAGAGAGTGAGAAATGTTCGATATGTGACCCTCTCAGGAGAGAGAGAGGATATTTATAGTCCCCAGTGCTGGGCCAAGATCTCCTCATTAGGCTGGTCAAGCAGACCCAAAATGGAGACTACCAGGTCATATGTGAGTAGTAAGGACCAGCACGTGGTCTCCCACCTGGATAACTTCCTCCGCACGATCAGGAGGATATGAATGCGGTCTTTCTGGGGCCACGAAGACTCCGTGATATTCAGAGATATTGATAGTCAGCCCTACGAGAAGGATGCTCGTGGGCGTTTCTACTCGTCGTGGATGTTTCCCGCCAGACGTGAGGTCGTGTGGGAAGATCAATCTTAGTCAAAGAGAGGATTTGAGGGTGACCTCGAGGTCTCCCTGACCGACGATGATCTTCTTAAGACTAACTGAATTTGTCCCCATGTGGTGAGACTGCCTCCTTGTGAAGAGTGGAAGTTGTTGTCCGACGCACTCGAGTGCAAAACTGACCAATATATCTTGACTAACACAATTGTATTGAACCTCACATAAAATTGGATCAAGAACAGACCCAATCCAAAATAATAATAGAAAATACAAAAACCACTTCGCTTTTTGCAATTAAGTCAATATGCACTTAACGGTTGAATTAGTATAGCCAATTCATCTAGTTTTCTCGTTTTGTTTTTGTTTTTATTGAATTATCTAACTATTAATTTGTCGTTACAAATATTATTAAATCAAAATTTAATTTATAATATTTGAGTCTACAACTGTCACATGCAGGCCAATTTGTCTTTTTCTTCACGTAGTAACGGAAAATGGAAATACCAATTTGGTAGACTTTAAATACAATTTCATCTTTTAATATTCTATAGAAACTCAAAGTCAAATAATTCACTCTTCCTCAATTAACGCGTATAAAATCAAACCAAATCACATTTATTTAACATATAATTTATTATTTATTTCTTTTTCCCAAAACCAAAACAGTTTCTTAAAACAAAATTTTAATATCTTGACTCATTTTACAAAAAATTTAGCACGTTGATAAAACGTGCCTCGAGCACCTAAACACGGTAAAAAAATATTTTCATTTGTAATTTTTTAGAAAAACATACCTGAAGTTTTTTAGATTAAATCTTTAAAATTAGATTCATTACATTATTTAATTTTTTAATGGGAATAAATTATTAAAGCTGTAAAAGGTGGTGTAGTAAATGCTTATACATGCAAAAAAAGAACTTCAATTAACGAAAAAGAAAACGAAGAAGATAACAAGAATGGAAAGGAGAAACAAAAGAAAACTACCGTCATAATGGGCCAATGACCAAACGGACAGATCAGCGACAATATAAAAAGGAACTAAAAGGCTAAAAGAAATAACCTAAAACGTGTAATAATATTAATGATAATTGGTATACAAAAAATATTAATTATATTTAGAAAAGCAAATTTAAAAAATTAGAATTAAATCATTTATTTTAAAAATTATTTACATTATGAAAAAATACATATAAATATAAATATGATGTTTTATTATTAATTTAATTAAAAATAATAAATTTGTTTTATATTTATTATATTTATAATTTGAACGTGGATGGAAAATAAATTTGAAAATGACTATTAAAATACATGCATTTATATAAAAATACTTTGACTTATATATTACATCTTGTTCAACATTTTTACTTAAATCATTTTCTTTTATGTAAAAAAAAACAATAATTCTTCAAATATTTCTCTTAAATGTGACTATATATATACATTCATTTATTTGAATTGCTTTTGCTTATATATTATTAAATATTAACTATTTTAACTTTGTTTTATCAAAATTGAGATTTCTATTCTTACCTTAAAAAATGAAATACATATATTTATTTATTTGAACATACTCTTATTTATATATTATTTGACATTGACTTTTTCATAAAATATTTTTTAACTAAAATCAATAAAATGCTCAAATTTAAAGTATAATTTTCTCAAAAAATAAATACTACAAAAATTGACAACCAGATGGAAAAAAAAAACCTTATTAATAAAACTCTGAAGAATTTTTTTTTAATAAGTAATTTATATCTAAACATACTCTCAAAACCAGATACACTAACCGCAAGAAATTATAAATTGGTTTTTACTATAAACAAATCCGTTTCATAATAGGATAAAATAATGAAATGATTTTAAAACCAAATCTTAGAAAATGAATTAGACCGTGGTGAATTCGTGTGGGTCCATGTTTCCAGTATTGTCTTCTCTGGTTGGCTCAACTAAACCAATAAGGTAAAAATATAATAAAAAATAAATAAATTAAAAAGTGATTCATTCACACACAACACAAAACAGAACACAGAGAAAAAGAGTAGTATACTAGTAACACACAAAAACAGCTTCATAAGACAGAATTTCAAGCTTCACTTCTAAAACGTTTTCTTCAACCATTTCTCTCTCTATATCTTTTTTGAGCAAGAAACACATTTTCTGCAATGTCGACGGCTCCGGCACCTTCTTCTCCGCCGGCGGCTAACGCCACGGCACCTCCGCCAGCAACCCCATCCGCACCTCCTCCAGCCACACCTTCTGCACCGCCACCTTCCAACCCACCTCCGGCCACTCCTTCATCACCGCCTCCGGCGACACCCTCGGCACCTCCCCCGGCGACTCCTTCATCACCACCTCCTCCGAAGACTCCCTCATCTCCTCCTCCAGCAACTCCTTCAACTCCTCAGCCAACACCAGCAGCACCGTCGACTTCTCCGCCGGCACCAACCACGCCGTCGCCTCCCGAAGGTGGAAACACTCCTCCCAGTCCACCTTCACGGGGCTCACCGCCCTCTCCAAAAGGCACTGATCAAAGCCCTACACCTCCTTCCGCCAAAACTCCGCCGTCGCCTCCTTCATCGTCGTCAAGTATGAGTACGGGTGTAGTCGTGGGAATCGCCGTCGGAGCGGTGGCGATTCTTGTGGTGTTTAGTATTCTTTGCATTTGCTGTAGGAAGAAAAAGAGAAGACGTGATGAAGAATACTATGGTCAGCAGCATCAGCAACCACCACCTCAGGGACCCAAATGTGAGAATTTTTGCTGCAATTTTTCCTTTTCTCACTCTAGGGTTCTTCAATTCTTAACAAGTGATTATGTTGATTTTTTACTTTTTAACATTGATTTTTAAAATGGTGTTAAAACTTTTAGTTTTTGTTAAAGTCTGAGTTTTCTTGCTTGATCTTATCACACACCATGTGTATGATATTTTGTCCCTATGAGAGATTCCAGTTTTTTAAATTCTTGTGCATGGTTACCAACATGAGTTGGTCTCGGTCAAAAGGACTTGGATCTTTAAGCAAGAGGTTAGGGTTTGAATCATGATACTTGTTAATAGAATATATTGTATTTGGAGAGTTCTCCATAGTGCTCGATAAAATCTCGAGGGATCCGTCTTCTCTCTCAGTTGCACGCAGAGGATTTATTGGTTTTTGAAAAATATAGGAAATCTTGCACATGGTTTAGTGTGAATTATGTTACTCTATTGATTGGAGAATACCAATGCAATTTTTATTCATTCTTAGATATCGAATTTTGCTCTAATTTTTATGAAATTTGTGTTTTTGGTGATGTTAAAAGATATTGGTATTCAAAAGAGTGAATGATAATTGTTCATTTGATGCTGATTTCTTCTTTCCGTTGTGCAGTTGATCCTTATGGCGGTCCTCCGAATCAGTGGCAACATAATTCTCACCCTCCTTCAGATCATGTAGCCTCAATGAAGCCACCACCACCTCCTGCTGCAATTCCATCGCGACCTCCGTCTCATGTTGCTCCGCCTCCTCCTCCTCCTCTCATGAGCAGCAGTGGTGGTACAGGCTCAAACTATTCAGGCGGTGAACTGCTTCCACCTCCATCTCCAGGCCTTGCATTTAGTACTGCAAAAAGTACGTTTACATACGAGGAGTTGGCACGTGCAACGGATGGCTTCTCTGATGCTAACCTCCTTGGACAAGGTGGATTTGGATATGTTCATAGAGGTATTCTCCCTAATGGCAAAGAGGTTGCTGTTAAGCAGCTAAAAGCTGGAAGTGGACAAGGAGAACGCGAATTTCAAGCTGAAGTTGAGATTATTAGCCGTGTTCATCATAAACATCTTGTTTCTCTTGTTGGATACTGCAGCACTGGGTTTCAGAGGCTACTTGTTTATGAGTTTGTTCCAAACAATACATTGGAATTCCATTTACACGGTACCTTTTGTTTTTTGTCATTCTTTTGTGTAGCACAATGCTTTAGCTAGAAGTGTTCTTAATTCTTACGATTATTTTTTAACGACAGGAAATGGACGACCAACTATGGATTGGTCAACAAGACTGCGAATTGCTTTAGGATCTGCAAAAGGACTTGCTTATCTTCATGAAGATTGTATGTTATGTACTTTTGACTGTTATTTTTTCAGCAAAGCTAGTTTTTGTCAAACTCAATGTTTATTATAATTTTCTATTTGTCTAGGTCATCCTAAGATCATTCATCGTGATATTAAAGCTGCTAACATCCTTCTCGATTTTAAGTTTGAAGCAAAGGTATGCTCTTTTATGTTTCTTCCTTGCGGCAGTGGTGATGCACCATTTAAAATGTTCTAAGAAGTTGTGTGCATGAATTGGTTAATATAAAGTGTGGGTGTTAGTTTAATTTAGTGTCCAATGTCTGGTGACAGGTTGCAGATTTTGGTCTTGCAAAGATTGCTTCTGATCTCAACACTCATGTTTCTACTCGAGTGATGGGGACTTTTGGGTATGAACAAATTTATTCCATTCCTCTCAATTTGGATATTCAGTGAAATATAATTTGTAATCTATTATTGTTTATGGTTGATTGAATTAGTGCATTAAAAGGCATGAAATGTGCCATATGGTGATATAGAACTGCGTTAACCAATCAAATTGTTGTTGAAATTAGTTGTTAAATTTGTGTCAAAATATCATTTCTCATATATTCAACTCATGAATTATCAATTGCTGCTTGCTTACAGGTATCTGGCTCCAGAATATGCAGCGAGTGGAAAACTTACAGACAAATCAGATGTTTTCTCTTATGGAGTCATGCTCCTTGAGCTATTAACTGGACGCCGACCGGTTGATAAAAATCAGACTTACATGGATGATAGTTTGGTAGAATGGGTAAGTGCTATGCTACCATCCTCCTCTTTTCTCGAGGGTTAAATATAATTTGTAACTGAAAGTTCAGTCATTTATAAATAAAGAGTTTTCTGTATAATTTTTCTGTTATTGGAAGAGAATAACATAGAGCATCCCTTAACTATATTCATCTTTTATCGTCATCACAGGCTAGGCCTTTGCTCATGCGTGCTTTAGAAGAAAATAATTTAGATTCTCTGATTGATCCAAGGCTTCAGAATGAATTTGACCCTAGTGAGATGACTCGTATGGTAGCATGCGCTGCAGCTTGCACACGCCACTCAGCAAAGCGTCGACCAAGGATGAGCCAGGTAAATTTCATTGTGCTGCTACTATAAAATCAAACCTAGGTCGTACTTTCTATTTTTTGAGTTCATGCTATTTCCTTCTATTTTGAGTCTAATAATGGGACAAACTGTAGGTTGTGCGCGCCTTAGAAGGAGACGTGTCACTAGCAGATCTTAATGAAGGAGTAAGACCTGGACACAGCAGTGTCTACAGTTCTCATGAAAGCTCAGATTATGATACTCAACAATACAAAGAAGACATGATAAAGTTCAGAAAAATGGCATTAGGAACTCAGGAGTATGCTGCAAGCAGTGAGTACAGTGCAGCTACAAGTGAATATGGCTTAAACCCGTCTGGCTCAAGCAGCGAAAACCAAAGCCGCCAGACAACAAGGGAAATGGAATTAAGAAAGCTGAAGAACAGTCAAGGATTCAGTGGAAGTTCATGAGCCTCGACACGATTGTTTGCTACTATTTTTTATCTTGTATAAAAAAAATCTCTGTCCTCGATTTTCGATTTGGATTGTGTACACACACTCAGCCACATCTGGATTGCTCATTTTTTATTGGACGATTCAGATTAAAAAAAAAATATCGAGCTTGAAATTTGGATCATCTGATCTTCTTCGAACGGTCCAAATGTAGCTGACTGCACACAACACAGATCCCTTGATTTTCATCTATGGCACAGTTGAATTTTTCTTGACTGACATGTTTGGATTGACCTACCAATTATTGTTACTATTTTTTCACAAAAATGTTTCACATATTTTCATTGTATTTATCAAGGTATACAACAAATAACACTTGATTCTTTCATTATTTTTTTCCTTATTTAGCTTAAAGGTTGGAAATGTATTGCATCATTATCAACCTTGTTTTCCATGTTGCTCTTCTGTCAATTTGATGGTAGTTGGAAATAGGTTTGCTTGGTTTTGTTCATATATTGATATCAAAGTTTTTCTTTAGGCCCTTGTTTGTGAGTGAATCTATCTCCACAACAAATTTGTGATTTCTTACCTAATTGAGATAGTGAGTAGTTGCACTCAATATGTTATATTTGGAAGTGTGCTGGTGTGCAACTGTGTTCCTTGCATATGAGAGAATATGCATGTGTTAGTTTTTTTTTTCATGTAAAGGAAAAGCAACTTGCTAGATACTCAAAATAGAGATCTTAGAAACCAATTTTGACCAACTAAGAAATTATTCAAACTTACAAAAATCTTAATACGTATTTAAATACTCTCTCTCTGCAACGAATTATAAGCAAATTTAATTTTTTTTATATTTAATATTTAATGTATCTAACTCATATATAAATTAATTTATATATTAATGGTCAAATATATATAAAAAAAATTATTTATAATTATTTATAAAAAAATAATTTATTAATGGGTATATGATTTAGAATTTATGCATTTAATAGTATTTTTAAAGTTTAAACACAATTTTTTAGTAGTAATAGATAATTTTTATTTATAGATTCTTTAACTTGTACTACCATGTGTGAATGCTTGTAAGAGAATATTGAATGACAGCCAGATATGAAAAAGCTGTAGCTTTTGGACAGACACTACACGAAGGATATTTGTCACATGCGTTGAATCATTAAAAATAAGACAGCTACTAATTAATTCATCATTCCATTTGGTGAAACAACAAAAGATGGAAATGGTCATTGTCCAATAGAAGGTAAGTCAATTTAGTTCAAATTTTAAAAGAAAATAAACTTAAATCAATAATAAATATAATTAATTTGATTTGGTTTTATTTAATTCAATCGAATTAATATTTAAAAAATTAAATTTTTAAAAAAGATTTGAATAATATTAAAAAAACTTAAACGCAAAATAACAATAAAAGATGAATAGTGATCTATAAAAGATTTGATTTGAATAATGATTCTTCTTTTTTCTTGATGTTTTTCAGTATTTCAGCAATTTGATTCAAGTTTGATAATGTTGAGTAATTCATCGTTCTTCAAATGCTGATGAGGTCGCTTTATATAAACTTTGAAAAATAGACCGTTGTTAGTAAAGAAACGTCATTTTCACTTGTCAGCTACAGTAACGGTAGCATTTCGTCATGGGAGACAACATAGTACAATATGTAAGCATGTAGTGAAATTTGAAGCGTATTGTCTGTACTATATTTTTCGTGGCTAAGTTTCTTTGAACCTTGTCTTCTGATGATTTACTTCTGGCTTGAAGTAGTAAGCTTGGAAGATATCTATTTCTGATCTTTGTTCCCTTTCTCTTTGCTGGATTGATTCTGATATGATGAATAAATATGATCCAAAAGATGTTTCATTGTTGTAGAGTCAGAGTCTTTTAGATAGTTGAACATTGTCTTCAGATATACAAGCAACAACTAATCAAAGGAACAACTTCTTTGTTTGTGAGCGAAAACTTTTCTGATCTATACGTATTGATATGATCTTTAATTTCTGATAACAACTTTTCTGAGCTGCATATCTGATGTCTGATTTTTGAAGCAAAAGCTTATTTCAGTACATCTGAATTTCTGATTCACACTTTTTGATCTGATCCTTGATTCTTGACTTATGATCTTGGATTTTGATCTTGGATTTTGATCTTTGATTTGAGTTGGAAGCAAAAGCCTGTGTCAATTACTTCTTTGTTTCTGATACTTTTCCTTTCTGATCTTGATCTATTTCTCTGGAAGTGTATGTGATTTCTAATCTGAGAGCAGAGTTTTTCTGAGAACACATTTGATTTCCTTTCTGACGAACATTCATCAGTCTTTAGAACTGCTGATGTTTCTTTAGAAATGGTCACAATAGTTCTTCTGGTGAGTGCAATGGTGTTTCTGATGATACTTGTCTTATAATGAATGTTACTTCTGTTGAATAGATTTGCTTGAGAAACTATCATCCTTTTATATTGTCTTCTAATGGACTATATGATATTGATTAGAATTGAGTCCGGAAGATCTTTCTTTCTTTCATCACTTATTCTGATGGGAATACTTCTGATGTTGATGCACATATTCCATAAATTATCCCAGTCTTCAGAATCTTGACTTTGTCTTCAGAATTATTATCAACAACTCTTATGATGAACAAATCTTGACTTTTGATTCTTTGCATTGAAAGCTTATTTCTCGTGTAATCTGATTTTTGATCTTGAAACAGTAGCTTGTTAGAAATTCTTTCTTATTGTAACTTGTGACTCCTGAAGCAGCAACTTGTTGAGAAGTATACACGTGATCCTCTTTCTGGTGGTCATTCAACATTCAACAGAACTGCTGATGTTTCATTAGAAACAAACTTAGTGGTTCTTCTTCTGAGTGATAAAGTGATTCTGATGAAATCTTGATTAAGACTATCCAGAATTCTAATATCTACACACTCAATAAAACCATGAACTAGAATTGTTTTACATAAAATATATGCATTACTATCATCAAAACATAGATATTTAAGCACAAATCCAAATCTTGTTCTAACAGCTTCCACCTCTCTTGTGGTTCTCTGTCAGTTTATTTTACATTACAGTTCCATATTTGCTTCCATTTTTTTGTTTTTTTTTGTGTGGTTGATTTTATGCTCTGAAATTCGGTCTAGGTTTGTGTGGGTTTGTTGCTTTTCTTTACATCTGAGAGCTGAAATAGAATTTCCATGGAAGAACAGAGCTTTTCTAGCTGCCTTCTAAATATGAATAAATTTGATAGGGTGCTTTTATGTGTGCCTTTGCTTGGAAACTCCAATTTAACAAGTGTTGTGCATTAAGTTGAAAACTCAGTATTTACTTTGGATAATTCTACGGGTGTTTCAACTAAAGTCGTGGTTCCTAAAGTGAAGGGTGCAAAACAAATTCTTTTGCTTAAGTTCTGAGTAAGATATGTGTTATTATTTCCTCGTTGTCAATTTCTAAAGACTAGTTTAAAAGGAGATGATATTGCTATCAAAGTTACTAAGAACGAGTACAAGGTTAGTCTTGAATTATGAAAAAATTATTGGGGTTGGTTAAAAATATACATGTTAAAGAAGTCCCACATCACTTATTTTTGTGAAGGAAGAGGGAGTCCAAGGCTATATATAGGATTCAAGTTTTTCTTTACAAGATGCACCCGTCAAAAATACTTAAGCTTCTATTTGACTTTCTTTGTTCTCTTATGCTCTTGTATTAAAGTATTGTGAGATGTAGTTAAATATTTGTTTTGGAGGGTATGGATGTATTGGGGGTATGAGTTAATTGAGGATATATTATGTGTTGTAATAATTTCCACATAGTGATATTCCCTGGTTGTCATTTGACAACGGTCATGGTTTTTTCTCCGATTTTGGAGTTTCCACATTATGTCCTTGTGTTGTGATTGTGTTCCCTTTTTCTCTCTATGTTTTGCTTTGGTTTATCCTAACAACTAGTATCAGAGCTTTTGGTTCGATCCTGGGATAAGTGCTCTTAGTATGCTATGTGATTGCAGCTTTGTTTGATCTTCCACATCATAAAAGAAGGGTATTATTGTGAAAGAATTGTTGAGCTACAGTCACAAGTTCCGCTGTGCAGTTTGGGATAGAGAAAATTGATGGAAGAATTTTTTTGACTTGTGAAAAGTTCAAGCTAAATATGTGTCGATACAATTAAGATAACACAAGGTACAAGATTATGTCGGTGGTTGAAGAGCTTTCCGCTAACAAGGAAGTTGCACCATAAAGTTTCAACCTGGTTTTCGATATGTGAAAAATTCTTGAAGTGGTTTAACTTCAAGTGAAGTATACTCTTCTTTAGGTGGAGTATAATAGTTTTTAAAACTATGATTTTTGGTGAAGATAATATGAAAATTCTTGGAGTGGTGTAGCTTCAAGTGACTATACTCTTTATGGTGGAGTATGATTGTCGGTGAAGACAGTGGAAGCTTATGTATTATTTTCAATCAAGGTGGATATTGTTGGGGTTGGTTAAAAATATACATGTTGAAGAATTCCCACATCACTTATTTTTGTTAAGGAAGAGTGAGTCTAAATCTATATATAGGATTCAAGTTTTTCTTTACAAGATGCACCAATCAAAAGCACTTTAAGCTTCTATTTGACTTTCTTTGTTCTCTTATTCTCTTGTATTAGAGTGTTGTGATATGTAGTTAAATATTTGCTTTGGAGGGTGTGGATGTATTGGGGGTCTGGGTTAATTGAGGGTATATTATGTGTTATAACAATTTCCACATAGTGATATTCTCTGGTTGTCATTTGACAATGGTCGTGGTTTTTTCTCTGATTTTGGAGTTTTCACGTTATGTCCTTGTGTTCATATTTTTCTCTCTATGTTTTTCTTTTGTTTTTCCCAATAAAAATCACCTTCATGGAAGGTTGATTCTCTCTAAAGGAGACCCCTTCCTGAAAATTCAAGACTTGCGTGATAAATCCAACACTCTTTGAAAGCCTCTAAAGAAATGGATAATTGTTTATTTAGGAAGATATTTT